TCCTTGTTTTCAGTCCCTGTGTCCTGTCCCCCTGCTCCTTGCTCCCTTAATTTAAACGCAATGGCAGGTGTGTGGGGGAAAAGGTGGAAATTACCCTAATTTAAGGGTTGGAAAATAGTTCTTAATGGAAGTTTGCGGAAAATTCAAACCTTTTATAGGTTTACATTTATTTATATTATTTTTGTTTTATTTTATTATATATATATATATATTTATTATATATATTTTATTTTTTTTATATAATATACTGATCTCTGTGATGCAATTCATGGTTCCCTGTCTATTAGTAGGAGTTTTTATTCACCTTTTTAAGGAGCTGAAGGTAACAGGACCTAACAGTGTGCTTGCTTTACTTTTCGCACGGTGGAGCTGGCCGTTGCGATATCCGTTTCCGGTTCCGCTTTCGCTGCCGCATTTTTCGCATTTTTTCCCTTGGCCTGCTGACTGCCCTTTTATTTTTCGTTATTTTTTTTTTTTTTGCTTTCTTTTCTGCGGCAGCGAAGTAATTGGCTGCGAAAATGCTGCCATAAATCAAACCGATAATTATGTGGGCGACTGCGCAACTTTTTCGCACCCAAAAACCAAAGCGTCAAAAAATCCACAAAAAAAAAAAGAGAAAAAGAGGAAAAGCTGGGAGAGAGAAAGAAAAGGAGCAGGCTCATTTTGATTGCCGTCCATAAATTATGATTTGATGTGCGAAATAGTTGGGGAAATGGATATGGAAATGGGGCCAGGCAGTGCTCAGTGGGTGGTGGGGTAAATGCAGTCCAAGGTCGTGGCTTTTTATTTCTCCCTTGCCTTTCTTTCTCTTCCCTTTCTCTGTGCCCTCTCTGTGTCTGCTGGCGGCCTTCGCCAGTCGCCTGTCGCGTCCTTGAGTGGGCCAGCAGGTTGAAAGTGAAACTGGAGCAGAGACCGCTCCAGGAAACACTCCGGCTCCATCTCCGACTGCGACTGTGACTGCCACTGTGGCCGTGGCATGATTAATTGCTCATTGTTGCGGCGGCCACATCGTAAATTGCTTTCACGTCTCGTGAATCTCGTGTCAGTCGCACGTGAATGCCATGAATAAGAGGGGAAAATGGCAGGGGAAATGGCAGGGAATTGGCCCTGGCTAAGGCCTAGAATGTTGTCAAATGGCTAAGACGGCACTGGGAGAAAGGCAGGTTTAGAAATATATAACAAATACAAGTTATATGTAACTTTTTTTTGTTCAATTTTCCTATAGCTTTGCTTAGCCTTGGGGGTTTTCTTTCAGTGTTGAAAGGACTCAATTCGTTCATCGCCCGGGCTCATCTCTTGTCATCCTCGGCTAACGTTTAAGGCGTTCCGCATTGTTTATCTTCCGCTTGCCATCGCCCTGGCTAATGTTACATTATTAATGCATCTGCATGGAGCCTTTTCCTCAAGCCTTCGTATGTAAATTAAGGAGGCTCCCAGGTCCCTGCTCCCTGGATTTCCTTTTCGCCCGGAAAAACGTGCTTGCTGCCCCGATATCCGGGGGAAAAAAAGCGAGAAGCAAAGCAGAAGCAATTCGTGCCTGTTACTCGGAGAAGTGATAAATGATTGAGAGAATCTGCCGGATATATGGCAAAGCCAGGCAGGCCTAAGTGAGCTGCCAAAAAGGATATGGCTCAAGGATTGCAAATAGTTCCATGAGTATTCAATATTTACTCCATTTCCCATACCAATTACTATTAAACTACTGTATTAATGCCATTAATAATGGGTTAGGTGGGCAGATTTGGAAATGAAAATAATTAAATCAATTTAAAACACCTAAAAAATACATTTTAAAATATATAAAATATAATATTAAATATTTAATGTATAGAAAATATAAATATAATTTAAAATCAATTTTTGAATATATTAAAAGTAGTACGTATACAAAAGTATGTACTATTTATTATACTTAATTTAAAATAAATTTAAAAATATATATAATATAAAAAAGTATTCACAATTCAATTGACATAATTTAAAATATATTTAAAAACTTATTAAATACTTTATCTATACAAAAGTACTATTCAATATTTTCCCCTTAAAGATTTAAAATTGTTTAAGGAAAATTGAGAGCAAAAATAATATTTACTTAAATGCTTTTACGATTGCAAATAGTCTCGCTGTATTTAATATGCTCAAACCAAATTGCCTGTTTCGCCCGGTCATATCACCTGCCTGGCTGGCTGGCTGTGGTGACCCCGTTTTGCAGTAATTACTATTTCATCCCCGATCCCAGGGAGAGCAAATAAAAAAGGGATTAATCTGATGGCAGCGTCGGCGTCGGTGGCGGACTTCTCATTTAAAATGCTGCTTTGAGCGAGCAAGGATAATCCCAGATCGTGTTCCGCTGCCGCTGCCGGCGTCATTAGTCCTTTGGCTGTAATGAATCCATAGTCGTCCTTTCACTGCCTTTCCACCTGTTTTACACTCTTTTTTTTATATTGTTTTGAGCTGTAAATTGGGCTGGCCAGCAATGAATACCCTTTCTCGGGAAGGAGGATTTCCAAACAAAAAAACAAATTTCATTGCCTACTTTCGAGCGTAGTTTCAAGAGATTTCACTTGATCAGGAAAACGTTTTCGAAGCGGAAACTAAGCAGTCATAATGCGGACACCTTTTCGGAACCTTTACCGTAAATAAATCAACGCAAACACAACTTGTTGCTAAGCCAGGACTAAATGGAACCCCTCTCTCTATGACATAAGTCGCTTGCTTAAGCAGGCTTACCATTAGACCACTAACTTAAAGCCCAATCGGATCACTACATCATACTACTTTCTCCAGAGAAAGAGAGAGTACAGAGAGAGTGTATAAAGCTATGTAGCTACCACTGGGTTTTCCCCACCACGGGGCAATAGCAATCACGATAATAAGCATAAATAAAAAGGGCCAACAAAAAATTACACAGCCATAAAAAAGGGCAAATGGCATACTGGGGAGGGTGGGGCTGGTACTGGTACCTCGAACCTCGAACCTAGAGCCGCCGTCCATCCATCCATTCGTCTTTGCTGGCGACCCAAACCCAGACCCGTACTGAGACCCAGACCCAAACCCGGACTCCTATCCGGACAACAAACAACCGAACAAACAAACGTCGAGAATGAGAACACAAACAAGTTCTGTAGTGGGCTGCAACCGCTGAACAAGCTCGTAAAAACTTATTTAATTTGTGATTTATATGAATAAAATTGTGTAGTAAATTCCCTGAAATTATTCATTTCGCAGCGCTTACGGGCGGGTGGACAGCGCCGAAACAGTCCAAACAGGACAGCACCATAAAGACCCATCCGCCAAAAAAAAAGGAAAAATACAAATAAAATAATAAAGAGCAAGAAAGCTCCACACAAAGAAAATATATGTGGAGAATTTATAGAATTTTAATATGAAAATATATAAAGCTGGAAAATGTTTATATCTATGAAGAGGTAAACACTTTCTACTGTTTGTTCTTTCTTAATTTTCTTTTATTTTTAAAATATGTTTAAGAATTTCATATAAATTTCATTTAAAATGTAGATTATATTATATAAAATATATATTTCTTTTATTTTTAAGCTAATTTTTAAGTTGAAGCTTTTTCTTTTTTTATTATTATTTTTATTTTTAACCTCTAAGAACTTCCATATAAACATGGATTTTACCATGATTATTATTTGGTAAAAAAATCAACATAATTAAAATTAAAATTTAATTTTTCAATTTAAATTTATCTCAAACATTTGTATCTAATTATTGGACATCCTCAATGAACCTCAAACGCTCCCTAATGCGATATTGTATATTAATTGCAAATGTTTTTTGTTTATTTAATTTTAAATAAATTAACAATTGATTTTTTTGTATTAACAAAAACATTAATCTGTAATTTCCGCTTTTCACCACAAAATGCAAAAAAAAAAAAGAGACATTATTCTCCAAGTGGAATTGGTAAAAAAAAAAAAAAAACAGAACTGCTGTGGGGTCGAAAGGATAAACGGAGCACAAGACCAAAACAAGAAACGTTGCCAAAAACAACAACAAACAAAAAAAAAAAAAAAAAAAAAAAACTGAAGCTGAAGCGACGGCGGCGACAGAGAAATAAAAGAAAAGTTTTTGCTGGCTAACCAAAGAGTTTCACATTTTTGATTTACTCTCCGAGCAGAAACGAGTCGCAACTTTTGCGCATATAAATTTGGGCCAAGCCACCACATCCTCCCGCTAGCCCCCTCCGAGATGGGGGAATCCCCTTGCCCCCTTGCGATTGCCAGCGAGTCCGTCTTGTTGAATGATTTTCGATTTCCAACTAACCACAATTTAGTCTGCAAATGTCTGAGCTGACCTCAATTGGAGTGGTAAATGGCAAAGGTTTCGCCCCATAAATTTCGGCAGTTTTGTCAGTTTCTCGAAGGATCTATACCTCAAATGGAGGACATTAAAAGTAGCCATCGATTTTTCGTAATTATTCTGCAATTTATTTTCATTTATGAATTTATTCCATCTTATCTCAGGGGCAAGGTATCATATCTATGAATAATTTAGTACGAATCCAATAAAAGGCTATGGTGCTTGTGCAAGTGGAAAATAATTGTTTGAGAATTGTCAAGGAGCTTAAGTCTCGGAATTTTGATAACTAAATATAAAGTTAATTAATTAAATTATATTTTAAAAAGGTTTTTCGAGATATTAAAATTTTTTTTTAATTTTTATTTATTTATAAAGAGCTAACATTTAATTGAAATTAAGAGATAGCGATGGAGTTTGCTCAGTTTTACAATATATATATATATTTTTTTAATTTGTTTCTACTTAAGGTATATAATTTTATTTATTATTTATTATACTGCATTCCAGCTTGTCTTGCTTATAGTAAAAACATGTATATAATAAACTCTTTGAAATTTATTAATATTAAAAGTAAGGCATTCACTTTGTCAGCTTCTTAGAATAAATATGGCTTATATATTATATATTATTTATAGATTATAGATTATTTATATTTTAAATTATAAACTCACCGCTCTAGCATCGCAGTTTAAGCCCAGACTGATCACCAGGCATAGTCCCAGGAACGAGAGCAGGCAACGGGGATGCAGCATGATTTCGATCTGCCTCTCAGATTAAACCAAAGGATATATTTTTAGCGTGTGTTTTTATGCTTCGCTTTTTTGTGTTCTTTTGGCTGTTCTTGAATATTCCTCACTATAAAAAAATAAATAATAACAATAACATTACGTTGGCGATGGCGGCGTTGGATTTGTTCATTAACGAATAGTCACGGATCTTGCAAAGGAGGTGGCGACCCCTTCAATCTCTTCCTCTCTCTCACTCTCAATCTCTCATTCTCTTTGCTTTTAGCTCCTTGTTTTTTTTTTTTATTCATAACACATAAATATATATAGTTTTTCCTATATTTTTACGGGGTCCAAGCAACAATAACAAGGCATAAAACATTTTGCCGGCGCCGCGGCGACTTGTTTACTTTCACTACCACAAGGACTCTTGCACAAACACACTCGCACACACACACACACGCAGTCTCACAGAGTCACACACACAGCCAAGACCGTAGAGAGAGATGGCGAAACAAGTGACAGAGAGAGAGAGAGAGAGATATAAAGTAAGAGAGAAACTGCGGAAGCTGGGGAAAAAAACGAACCGAACGCGCGCGCGGCACGAATTGTTCTGGCGCCTCGACGGCGAAGCAGCCGCTTTTCAATGTCCTGTAATGCGGCGAATTCGGGACGAAGCCAAGCGGCGAATTCGCCAGCGAATTCGTCCTGCCAGCCGAGCCAGGGGGGCAGGCGGCAAAAGCAAAGGCAATGGCGATGGCGATGGCGATGGCGAATGAAGTTTATAAAATGTACGTGACTGTGGCTCGCTCCGAGCATGAAGTGTGTGCTAAGCTTTGCTCCTAGTACTTTCCTTTCGTCCTGCCCGCCTTCCGCCCACCCTCCGTAGGCCACTACTGCCGCCCAGTGCCTCCCTTTCTGCCACCCCGTGCAGTTGGCACAAAATGCTCAAGGACACTTGCCCGAAACTCGCACTCAGACCCAAAAAAAAAAAAAAAAAACCCAAAATCAGCTAGTGCACTTAAAAAAAATTTACATTTAATTTAATTTTATATTTATGATGTATTTTAATGGCTGCTTTTCACTATTTTGTATTGTTTTTTGTTTATTACTATTATTTTTTTATTTTATAGTATTATTTTATTATTATTATATATTATATTATTTGTATTATTATTATATATTATATTATTTGTATTATTATTATATATTATATTATTTGTATTATTATTATATATTATATTATTTGTATTATTATTATTTTTTTTTTTTTTATTACGTTTATTATTATTTATACATTTTTTTAAAAGTACTTCGTCTCAAAAAACTTTCTCCCTGTGCCTGGCTCCCCAATGTCCTTGTCGCCAAAACTAGCAGAGGTTGTCGACTGGGACGGGAGCGGAGGGGAGGACAAGGACTCTCCAGCTTAATGCTTTCATTGTGCAGCATTTCTTTATTTTTAGTTGATTTGTTTGGACATTTTCGGTTAGTTTTGCACTCCTCCCTGGCCCCTGCTCCTCGGGTTCCCCTTTCTGTTTTGCCTGCGTCTGTGTCTGACCTTGCCACCCCCCCGGGCGCACACTCCAATTAGAATTGTGTGTGTTTTCCGAGGTGGACAATGGCTGCCACTTGAACTTCACGCGCTCGATTTCACTTCCATAAGTTTCAGTGGCATAATCCCCGGCCAAGCCCATTTCCGCTCCTGCTCGTGCTTCTGGCCGACCTCCCCCTTACTTTTCCATTCATGTGATGTCCTGTCGATGTCGTTCGTGTTGTTCCGTAGTTTGCGGATTACACTTGTCCGGCCACCCTTCCGCCAGGACTAAACCAGTCCCTGGGATCGCATATACAGCAATCGAAAAAAATGAGTATTACTTGGTTTATAAATATAGTTTGAAATGAAACAGGCCGGCTATATCCTTGCAAGGTATTATATTTTCAGTCAGAAGCTTAAAACGCAGAGAAGTAGTCATTTCCGACCCTATAAATCATATATATTCTTGATCAGCATCAACAGCTGAGTCGATTTAGCCATGTTTGCCAGAAAATTATAAATTTTAATTTTGTTTCTTAATTTTATGTTTAATTTTATTGTTCAAGGAGGTAAAGAAAAATCGAAAATTTTTAAATTGGTTAAATTTGTAAACTTTATAAGCAGATTTATTAACCTTGAAAATACTAACTCAAAACAGCTTTCCGAATTGAATTTAATGCATTTTTGGCTTAGTTATTGAATTTTTAAGCCCAAAAATGATCATATAAAATTATGAATAAATATTTAAAATTTAATACACCTTAAGAGGACTATAATTTCAGTCTGAAGCCTTAAAATCAGTGAAGGACTCATTTCCGACCCTATAAATCATATATATTCTTGATCAGCATCAACAGCTGAGTCGATTTAGCCATGTTTGCCAGAAAATTAAAAATTTTAATTTTGTTTCTTAATTTTATGTTTAATTTTATTGTTTAAGGAGGTAAAGAAAAATCGAAAATTTTTAAATTGGTTAAATTTGTAAACTTTATATGCAGATTTATTAACCTTGAAAATACTAACTCAAAACAGCTTTCCGAATTGAATTTAATGCATTTTTGGCTTAGTTATTGAATTTTTAAGCCCAAAAATGATCATATAAAATTAGGAATAAATATTTAAAAATTAATACACCTTAAGAGGACTATAATTTCAGTCTGAAAGCCTTAAAATCAGTGAAGGACTCATTTCCGACCCTATAAATCATATATATTCTTGATCAGCATCAATAGCTGAGTCGATTTAGCCATGTTTGCCAGAAAATTAAAAATTTTAATTTTGTTTCTTAATTTTATGTTTAATTTTATTGTTTAAGGAGGTAAAGAAAAATCGAAAATTTTTAAATTGGTTAAATTTGTAAACTTTATATGCAGATTTATTAACCTTGAAAATACTAACTCAGAACAGCTTTCAGAATGGAATTTAATGCATTTTTGGCTTAGTTATTGAATTTTTAAGCCCAAAAATGATCATATAAAATTATGAATAAATATTTAAAATTTAATACACCTTAAGAGGACTATAAAATCAGTTTGAAGCCTTAAAATCAGTGAAGGACTCATTTCCGACCCTATAAATCATATATATTCTTGATCAGCATCAACAGCTGAGTCGATTTAGCCATGTTTGCCAGAAAATTAAAAATTTTCATTTTGTTTCTTAATTTTATGTTTAATTTTATTGTTTAAGGAGGTGAACAAAAATCGAACATTTTTAAATTGGTTAAATTTTTAATCTATATATGCAGATTTATTAACCTTGAAAATACTAACTCAAAACAGCTTTCCGAATCGAATTTAATGCATTTTTGGCTATGTTACAGATTTTTCAGTTTTCGATTTCTCCAAAAATTATTGAAAGAAATTTTACAATTGAAAAAAAAATTACATAATTTTGAATTAAATAAAAAAACGTAAGACCTCTCTATATATATTTTTTCTCTGTGTGTTGTGTAGTAAAAAAAATAGATATTTATTTGCTCAGCCAGGAGTGTCCTTGTCCTGCTGTTGTCTTGCATTGTCCTGATGTGTTGTGCTCGGCTCGCCCAGGTTCTTAAGCCGCCCTAATACCTTTCCTAATGGTTTCGATGCTCTCCATTAGCGCCACTGCCGCCACTTAATGCCACACGTAGTCCGAATGGAAATGCGAGCAGCTCCTTGCCGGGATTAGGGCATGGCCTGCACTACGGGTTGATTGGTTAATCAATGCCAGGACAGGTCCGGACATCATCATCATTGGAAAAACATGTTAAGCATTACACAATGCGGCCAAGTACTAGTTTATGGTATTTATTATAGCTTGAAAATATGCAGCTAATTCTTTAGGGCACTGAGAGAAAATTCATGTATTTCTCTTTGTTTTTTAAAGATATAAAATATAAATATTTTATATAATATATAAATATAAATGTATATAACATTTAAATGATTTCCTCGTGGCATCTACAGATCACCGACCTAGGCCAACAATCGGATCTGAGTTGGAAGGCAAGTTCACTTGAGCTTGGCATCCACGTTCCACAGTTCACGTTCCACAGTTCACGTTCCACAGTTCACGTTCCACAGTTTACTCATGGTATACCTAGGCAAGGTAGAGGCGTATATCACGAGGAAAAATTCGAAATTATATATTTACAAAAATATAGCGTTTAAAATTATGTGGAAATATTGAATAACCGAATTTTTAAATATGGAAAACTATGGATTTACATTTTAAAAATTATTTAATTTATATTTAGAACTGATTTAAAATAATTATTTACAATTATTTTTAACAATTATAGTTTTAAGTAAGTTTATGCTGTTTTTAACCATCTAAATATCTATTTATTTCAAATATATCGCTATATACAAACCCCTCAATTTATGAAAAATAATTAAAAATCGATCGATAATATCGATATTGACAATCGCTTGAAGTGAGAGTTCTTTGGCTCCGAAAGAGACCACCTTTATTAGTTCCCTGTGACAGATAGTGCCACCCTCTCCCCAAATCTCTACCAGCTGACGATCAGTTGTGCGCCGAGTCTCCACGTGTTCGCTCTGGCAGCGGAGATAAACAAACCTACTAATTCTACAGATTACAAAATAAAAAACATCTATTAAAAAATGACCACATCCGCTGACATCAAGGTACGCCAGGTGACCGCCTCCGAGGCCGATCGCCTCATGACCTTCCTGCTGGAACACTATTACCGCGAAGAGCCCCTCACCGCAGGCACCTCCCCGCCGGAGCCCACGGCCGATGACAAGGAGTTCCTGCTCAGCAATATCCCCTATGGAACCTGCTTCCTGGCCGAGGCGGAGGAGAAGGAGGATCAGGGGAACGACAGTCGCCGGATAGTGGGCGCCGTGGTTGCGGGTCCCAAGGATGCCGGAGCACCGGAACTGATGCGCCAAGAGGCGGCCCAGCATGCTGGCAGCAAGTGGGGCCGCATTCTGGACGTACTCTCCGCAGCGGAGAACGGCAGCGATGTCTGTCGGCGCTTCAGTGTCCCGAGTAGCCTGCATGTCCATGCCCTGGGCGTGAATAGTGAGCTGCGCGGCCAGGCGCTGGGTGCCCGCCTCATGGAGGCCGTGGCCCAGAAAGCCCGGGAGCAGGGCCATCGCCTCGTCTCCGTGGACTGCACTAGTGTTTACTCGGCGCGGCTGGTGCAGCGCTTGGGCTACGAGCTGGTGCACACGCTGCGCTATGCGGACCACCTGGACGCCAGCGGGCAGCAGGTGGTCACTCCTCCGCCCCCGCACGAGAGTATCCAGACCTTCGTGCTGCGGCTCTAAAGCTCTGGAGCAATGAAGCCCTTATCGCTGTCGCCGGGTGGCCATAAACCCACCCGAAAGATATAGTTTATCAGTTCCGCGTAACTTATGGCACTTGGGGCACACCGAAAAATATTGGGGGATATTTTTAGCCACGAATTGTTCAAAAAAATTAGGGTAATAGATCTATTTTATCATTTTTTATAACGAAAAATGAACTTGGCTTAGATTTATATTCTCTTGAACTTTGTTTTCATTTATTTCTATTTTATTTTATATTTAAATAAAAGAATTAAAACTAAATAATAAAACAATAATAATGATAATAACAAATAATAAATGACAATATTTAATTTGAATTTTAAATTTAAAGGCCATATAGGATCATCTTTTAGGGCCAATGAGCTTTCCAATTTCTAAAGAACTTGTATACTTGTGACTTTAATTTATAAATTATTATAAAATATTATTAAAATTTAAAAAGCATTTATTTCTAAATGTTTATAATCATTTTTAAATATTTAAAGTAATTAAAGTCTGAAGTAAATCTAGAACTTGCTTAGCTACATTTAAATTCTGATTTAATTTCTTATTAAATAAACAAAATTAATATAAAAATGATGTCACTTAATTAGTTGTAAATATTCTCTTCCCCTGACATTTGGCTTAGTGTAATAATCCACATATTGCCAGAACCATAACCATCTTGAGACTAATTAGTGATGTTAACTGAAAATTCAATTGTTGTTATGCGCCACTTGTGTGGTGCTTACGCCGGGAATTAGGTGGCTGGGTGGCTCGGTGGCTGAGTGGTCTCCATGACAACAACAACAGCTGGAAAGCTGGCAAGCTGAGCTGCTGGGAAGTGCCGCCAGGTGAGCTCTGCGTTACGGATTTGGCTTGGAATAAATTGCTAATTAATAATCCCCAATAAGGGAACCGCAACCTTACATAGTTTAGGGGCCTCTTAAGCTATGTGCCCTTTGGGAGGGGAAATTACCTAGTGGTTAATTTACTGAGAGTTTCATCGGAATAAACTCAAACAAGTTTGGATTTCGAGTGCAATTAGGTTATTAAGTCAAAAAATAAAGTATTTAAGCAGAGTAATTAATGTTTAAATAATTAAATGAGGCCTAGGCCTGAACATATCAAAATGTAACTCCCAAATGGCTATCGTTTTCATCTCGATCTCTGACCAATTTGCTGGTCGATGGCTCTGGGATATTATGTAATAAGTGTTGGTCCTTGGCGCGTGACTACTGGCCGGTGCCGGGATCCCTTGTGAGCCATGTGATTCCGCCAGAAGGCACGTGCTGCCAAGTAACCCCAACAGCAAATGTATCTCTGCAGCTGTATCTGTATCTGCATCTAGCTGGACTGTGTGTATCTGTATCTGCTGGACATAGTTGCAACATGGGCAACCGCAGCGAGTGGCAACCGCAGGGCGGCTGCTATTCCCCGAGGCCTGCGGCTTAGGTAACCGACAATTATTCATTGCGCATACGACGCGTTGGTCGCGCTAATTAGACGCTGCAGCTGCTGTCGATAATGAAGCCGCTTTGCCCGTATGATTATGCCCTCCCCTGGTCACGCCCATTGCCGCCCCTCCCCAAAAAAAAAGTCGAAGCATCTGCTGATGGGGGCGTGTCGCCCTGTTTAAGCTGTGAAGCACGTCCTGCGCCGAGCTGAGCCATCTGACGTGGCGTGCATTCCGTGTGCGCGATATCCTGCCGCCTGACACGCCCACTTTCGGGGGCTGCCGCTGCTCCTGCTAAATGGCCGCGTTCAAACTTTGCTGCCGGCCAAAAGGCAAACTGGCCAAAAGTAACAAGTAACAAAAATGCGGCGCAGCACAAGTTTCTTGCTAAAAAGAAAGGTGAAGAAAAAATTTTTTATTGGGAAAAAGAACAACGAATGTGGGATTACTCTTTTCCTGTTTATGTCGTAATATTTTTGGGTATTTAAAAAAACATTTTAGTACCTCTTTAGCGTAAGGTAAAAGTCCTGAAACTAAAATTTAAGGGATTGATCTTCATGGTTACTTTATACCCTTGGGTATAAACAGGTTCTTGGTTCTCTGTGAGCTTTCTTAAAGGCAACTTCCTTTACCTGAGAAGCACTGCCAGAGCAATGCAAGGACCAAGTTTCTCTGGCAAAGAATCAGCAGCCTGATTGCGGGATGAAGGAGCCTGAACCTGTCCATGGGTAGCCAGTTCCCATAATGGGATTCCGGCTGACATCAGCTCAAAACTGGAGCACCAGAGGCTGGCTTCTCCTCTCCTTTAGGATTGACAACAACTTTTCAGGCAGGCAAACGGATTACAGGGAAAGAAAATATGGCCCAAATACGGGATTTATGGGTAATATTATAGATTTCATTTAATATATAGATAATAATTAACAATAATTATTTATTTAAATGGAAATCTGATCCCTAGACTTTCCTATACTTGATCATGCTTCTTTTCCTGTTTTGTACAATTTGTGGAAATTCTCAAGGAGATTTCTTTGGCATTCTTTAGTGGCAGTCACTTGTCACAGGCTGCCAAAGGGATTTCGATCCCAAAAGTGCTTTTTTTTGCCTGGATTTATATTTATGGGGTGCAATTTGTGTGTGTTAATAGGGAAAATAAGGGTCAAAATAATAGGGTTATTTTTATTAATTTTAAAATATTTATTTAATTAAGAATATTAATTTTGAATTATTTATTTAATATTATTTATTAATCTATTAATTGTATATAATTTATTTAATATGGTTATCTATTAATATTGATTTATTAATTTAATATTATTGTCCTATTAATTTTAAATTATTTTTTTTACATATTTAAATATATTAAAAAAATATTTAGTTTACTATATATATAGAAAACCCTACTATTATTGTGTTTCTGTATATGTATCTTTATCTGTATCTTTATCTGTATGTATATCTGTATCTGTATCTTTATATGTATCTTTATCTGTCTCTGCCTCTGCATTTGTAGCTTTAGCTGTAAGTGTAACTGTATATTTCATGGCTTTGGCTTGCTCATATGCATGACGCCAGTGCGGGTGTTGTATAAATAAGAAATGTTCACGCATCCTTTGAGTCGACTGTTGATGTTGTTTTTCCCGCTTCTGTTGCTGCTCCATGGTCCGCCGCCTGCTGCTGCTCCTTCTCCTGCTTCTCCTCCACCTCCACCTCCACCTCCACCTCCACCTCCACCTCCTCCTCCCTCTCCCGCTGCTCATCCCGACATCCTCCTCCTGTCGCCTTTGTCGTTTTTATTGCCCGGCTGTCAATATCCGTGTCCGCATCCGTTGGCACATTCGCTGGCGCCTCGCCGGCCTCCGTTTCGCAGTCACTTTGCACACTGACCTTTGACTCCCACGTGGCCCATCAGGCAGGTCCTGCCAGCTCCTGCCAGTGTCAGCTCCTGTTCCCGTTGCCTTTTGCGACCTTAAGGATATGTGTGGCCATAAACAACAGGATATGAAATGAGTGCCCCGAGTGGCCTCTCTCTCCGGTGGCTCTTATTCAAATGCGACCTCTCACCCATGACCCCGCCCCCATGACACCGATATCCTTGCCAGATCCTGTCCCGGCTCCTGCTCCTGCTTTTCACTCGCTTGCCCTTGGCTACGCACGATTTAAATTAAATTGCACTTGACGCATTTTCCGGCACAGCCACCACCCCTCCTGGTGATTCAATTAGTGCGCCTAGGTCTAGACTCTGTACCCCCGCTCCGGCCTGTAAATAAATAATAAATGTAATCTCCCAGCTCGGACAGGAGGCAGGAGATAAAGGATTGGAGCGGCCCAGGTTCGTTGAACTAGCAAAGATCACAGCGGGGCAGGAGGGATGAATGGATATATTGATGGATGGCCAAAGGATGTGCGGCCTGAAAGGAGCTGTGGCTAACTGGGCTGAGGATGAATAGCTGGCAGGACAATAGATTGAGGGACAGGACGGAAAATGCTTAGGAATAACAAAGAACACAGGCTTGAAGACATCAAGGAAATGAAAATAAATATGTTGACAAAAAGGAGCAGGGTAAAAGTAACTTTTTTATATTAAATCGCGGATATTTATACCCTTATTTTAATTTTTTAGAATTTATAATATTTTTTTGTACTTTATTAAACTTTCAATCCCTGCTACCGTAGACAAGGCCAATTCTCCCTTTTGAATGACTCCATCAAAGGCTAAGATTCCACAAAAACCAATAGCCCCGATAGCTCCTGGAAGGGACTCTTTTACGGTTGGCAAAAACGGGAACAGCAGCTCCGGGGAGCTCAGAAATCTAATTTAAAATCTGCACACACACACACAGAGGCGGAGGCTGCAGGAACTGCACTTGGAGCTGAGACTGGGGACCGGGTCAAAGGCCAGCGACAACAGACAACAGATGCTGGCGGTGGGCAGGAGTAAGTCTCTGTGTGTGTGTGTGTGTGTGTGTGTGTGCACCTGGCCAAAGCCAAAGGTAACCAAAGGCAGGCAGGCAAACGGACAAGGCAACAAAATCAAACCCGGTTGTTGCGATTTAATCTTCAATCTTGTTAAGATGCTGCTGCTCTCCAGTCTGGTTAGATTGGTGCCTATTTTTATTTTGATTTAAAATTCCCCTAAAAATATAAGAAAAATTAGTAGCAATTTATTCCCAAGATATATTTATAATTAATTATTAAAATAGTACTTAAAACTCTTTAATTTCTAAGGAATCTTATCTTTCATTTTAACATATATCCTTTTTCATTGCTTTTTCTGGCTTTGGTCAGCACTATTTATTAAGGTTGCCTTTTCCTTGTTTTCGTAGCCCAATTCCCGTATCCGTATCCCTGTTTTTTTAAAGGAACAAAAGTTTCTCCCGACCAAACCCATACACCTTTACTCTGAACTGTGAAGCTACCAATGTTTAACACCTGCCCACCAAATCCAACACACTCGAGGATGCAGCTGCTCCTCCTTCTCTTCCCGCACTCTTCCTACTCCCCTTCAGAGACCATTAGGAATTGCAGGAGATTCGAGGGACTTTAGGAATTTGAGAACAAAATGCAGAGGCCGTGGGGCACGCACCATGGAGTGCTTGTGGCAGATACAACTCCAGTCCTAGGCCAGAAAAAAAATACTTGGAAAAAAACTAGGACTAAAATATATAAAATTATAGTTAAATTTAGTTAAAAAAGATGAAGATTTAGAAGTACTTTTAGAAATTAATATATTAAAAGTAGTAATTAATTAAGAAACCCCCAAAGGAATATATTTAGAATTATATTTATTATATATTTCCAAGTTGTTTCTTATATTTTCTAAATTAATTATAGTCTC